TATCTAAACCCTTTTAAATATGCATAAAAAGTCCTATGTCTTCATCGACGAATAAATATAATCTATACAGGATATCCATTATTTCTATATAATTGGACATTTTCTTAGATAACAGCTAAGAATCTCAGATTGAATCTTAGTAGAAATAATCAATTATTTGATCAATTGGTATATAATATATTCTAGTTAAAAATAGTTTTATTAAATTCAACTACTTTACGTACCGTACACGCAACGTTCACCCTCGTAATTCGTTCCGAAGCAATCACATGTCAAACTATTATAATGATTCACACATTGATCGGGGACGAAGCATAAGTTTTCTCGTGTTTTGCATCTAAATTGATGTTTACAATTATCGAATTATACTTTATACACCTTCTTTTCTTTTCTTTCTCAAGAAAAATGCTTACTTATCGATACATCCTTTCTTCACACTTTCGTGTTTGTTCACAATTAGTGGTTGAATGGGTAGCAAATCATTGGCAGATTCTCCAGCCTTCAACACTATATCTCTGATACAACCAACGAAGGATTCTGGTATATATTTTATTCCATATAATCGTTCTTCGGAATTCAGTCCTAAAAGTAAAATGGAAATAAAAACATGAAGAAATTTTTATATAAAGAAAAAGATTTTGCTCACCTCCGACGAAAACGACTGAAGTTAGTACTTCGGATACTCCATAATTAACGTAACGTTCTGAAACATTTAGAGTAGTCTCGGCTTCCTTTTCGTCGACTCTAGCGATTAATTTTGCTCCGTTTACGTCAATTTGTACAAAAACGCTACGCCACTCGTCCCTATTGAGCCCTTGGCCTACTGTCAAGCTGGTTGACTCTTCGCCAAACAGATGAATAACTTTCAACTGACCACTTTCTACTATCACATAAAGAGCGAAGTCCTTCGGACGATCTTTAACGCTGTGATAAATTAGTAAACCATGCGGAAGCTTGGTGCGAAACTTGAAGGATAGTGAACGACTTAATCTGTTAAGATACATTAAATAATAAAATATACAAAATAACATATCTAGTTTCTTTATGTTATTAAAATAATAATATAAAATTATTATTATTACATGTGAGATATTAACTAAATTAATGCAATTTAATAACATGTATGTAATATATTTTGTTTCGTAAATTGGAAGATTCAATGTAAAGAGATCTTAATAGATAATTTAAATTGCCATGTATCACCTTAGATGGAAGATTTTGACGCCAGGGCCATTGAGTTGGATGAAGGCGTTGCTTTGTGTGAACGTAAATGTTTCGCGGTCGGATTCCATGAAAGTTGATTCCTTTGAAAATATACGATAGAAATAATTTTCCATTTAAAACGTTTGCGTAAAATGTGATATATTTTTGTATAAATGACGATAATTTTACCTTTCCTGGTAAATGCTTCGATATTTGTGCTTTTGTTGATTTCGGAAGTGTAAAGGTCGGCCGTGTATTAGTTGTTGAGGTGGTGTTTATGACAAAGGCGCTGTCCTTTGTTACAAGAAAAGGCGGTATATCTAAAAGTAAGCAATAAGTTCGATAATTCTGCTATCATTAAATATTGTCTATTGTCGAAGTTTTCTACATTAAAAATTTTCGTATGTTTTCAATCTATTTCAATCAACAAATAGACATGTTTAGTAATTTAGTAATTTAAAAAGATTTATATATTCAGAATATTTCCCATTTATTTTTTTAACTTTGGTTTAATTGTTCAGTTATTTTTACTATTTTATTATGCTATTACTTATCTTTTTAATTTAAATATGTTTAATTAATTAATTAATTAATTGAGTCTTTTACACTTTTTCTTGCACTTAATTAATAATTAATAAATTTCATTGCAATAAATTTTTGTAAAAGTTTCTTACAATCAGCACCACCGCAATAATACAGGCACTCCGCTTCTGAATTAAACCGATTCTCATTTCCTAAACAGCCACCATAAGAAAAAGTTTGGCATTTTCCTTCAGTCTTATTGAAAGTCCACTTGTGAACATATTGCTTGCAAGGTCCTGATTTTGTCCTGACAAGGCATTTGTCGGATAGAATTCGTTGGATTGTAGTAAATTCTTTCGTTTCTTCGATTATATCCGTTTTTGGCAAATCTATCTGATTCGTTGGCATCTTTGCAACTATGTTGAGCAAAACAAGGATCTCGAGGATTTTGTTGTAACGGTGTATCATCGTTCTTCGTCCGCTGAAAGAGGAATCCAAATTTAAAAAAAAAATCAAAATAAAAGAATAAAAGTTTTGCAAATAAATACAATATATTAATATATCGATACGATAGCACGTGCGCTTCTCACACGTTTTGTTTAATTATCAAATTGCATTTTTTAATGACACGCACTGATATGGACGCGCATACCCCCCCCCCCAACACACACACACACACGCGCGCTATTTATTTTTATTTACACAAATATGTAGCAATTAGTAAGTAGATAAATATATGATTACTTTTATTTATTTTTTTTATTTTTATTATTATTTATTAGTATATATTTATTAATATTAATATTAATAGTATTTATATATTAATAGTATTTATTTATTATTATTTTTATTAGTATATAATATTACTTTATAATAAGATGAAGACATTCATTTCATCAACTATATTCTGTTATGAAAAGAAATTGGTTTAGAGAGTACAAAACAATCGATTTTCTGTAAAAATTCTTAATCAATAATGGCACTATCTGAAAATATTCTCTTAAAATTTTATATCTCGATAATACTTTTCGGATTACAGCTTCGAAAATGATCACGTGTCAGCCCAAGAGTCTCGTCCTTTCAGGTTTTCCAAGACAGAATTAATTAATGGCTCGGAAAATCTTTTGTATTAGGTTAATGAGTCAGCACATTTTTGTGAATGCATATTTGGATATGTTCTAGAAAATTCGGTAGACTTGCACTGATGCAGGTCAATGAACTGCATTGCTGCCCTAGTATAATGCTAGTACAGTACGATCTTCGGATAAACTCGATTAGTCATAGTGCAGATTTGACAAGGCAAGATTTGACGACATTGAAATAGAATAGCACAGAATTGGTGTGGCTTGGTGTAAAAATCACAAGAAATATTATTCGTGCACTAAAATTTTGTTTTAACCATTGCACGTTTTCTCGATTTTAATTATATTATATACATACATGATCTTATTATATTAATTATTGGTAATAATTTTTGTTATAAGCAGGGTTGGTTAAGCAAAGTTTTTAAAAATAACTGTCGTTACCGAGATCACGAAATAACTAGTTATCACTATTGATTCTTAATTCTGAATAACTCTTAATAACTCATTATCGTTATCCAAAAAAGAATGATTAGATACTTTTTCCGTTAGAGACTTTTTTATCAAAATGGGATCAGACTAAATAAAAATCAAATTTTTCTTATATTTTTGGTTAAACTATCGGTGTAGAAATAATAAAACTTTTCTTAAATTCTTAAATTTGATTAAAGATTAAAAAATTCAAGAAGATTTAAAAAAATTTTAAAATACTCACAATGCAAATACAAAAGATGTAGTTTTCTTTTTTATGATTTCTGAGAACTTCTTAGAACTGGTAATACTTAGCATTGCAAATCACATCGATTGACTGTGTGACACTGAAAAAGTTTGCACTTAGTGCACATTGGTGCAAAAATTTGAAAGGATAGATTTTAAAAATCGATATGTCTTTTTTATCGAATTGATTTTCAGAAACGAGGCACCAAGTTACCGAGGATCGATTTCAAGGATCGATTTCAGGAATCGCAAAAAGGATCGATTTTCAAGAATCGCAATAATTAGACAAATAATGAGAAAAAACGCTCGCCAGTACCGCCAGTACCGTAAAGAATAAACAATAAACGATAATCTAACAAAATATATGTTTTTAAAGCAACAAGAAAATCATAGACAGTTGATTATAAGTGGATTTATCTAATTATTGCGATAAATATTAAATTTTATTACCATATGTTTTAATGATCAAATAACGTGGTTGCGACACTTGCACTGTAACACTCGAAAGTGAGCGATTTAGATTCGATTCCTGGCTGGAGTGATGTTTTTATGATAAGGGCCTTAGTACATAAAAAACTTAAGCAGTATGAAAATCAACGTTATGAATTTGCTACTTTATATGTTATTGCCTTACGTTCTCGACTGTGACTGGATTCGCTTACTGCTTAAGTTTAATTGCTTAAGTTTTTTTATGCGCCACGATTCTAAGAATTTCATTGAGTGGGGAATTAATTAATTTCAAATTTAATTATCTATATAAGAACGGGGTAGTTCACAAACAGCTTTGAGTTACGTTGCAAGTTCGATAATTTAACAGGTGATTCATGATATAAGCATTTGCGTTGAATTATATATTAATTCAACGAAGAAAAATTATTCGATATTAAGACTTTGTCCGTCGATTAATCATCA